CTAGGGACCGAGCCCGGCCGCACCAGCCGTGCCCAGCGCCGTGCCCGGGCACCAGCTGGCCCGGCACGGGGCCGAGGCCGGTCCAGCCGATCCAGCGCCCGACCGCCCGGTCCAGCCGAGCCGGCGGTCCGGCCAGTCAGCGAACCGGCCGGTTCGACGAGCGGTTCGAGTCAGTTTTCATTCTTGATTTCCGGTCCGAGTCTGCGTTTGGAATTTTAGTATTTTTCCGAGCCGAGCCAGTCCAGTCTTAGCATATAAAAGGTCCGAGAATTTCAGCATATAATTAAATATTCCGAGCATTATACTTAGCATTATTTTGCTTAAATATTTATGTAGCCTAAGGAGAGTCGAGCCTCCGACCGCTACCCAGTATCAGCACTTGCATCAGAATTCCAAGTTTTCAGGTGGGGGCCCTGCACTGGGTATTACATTGCCTATAATCTTGTACCATTTATGATGTATGTATGTAGATAAGTTTTTACCCGAGCGATCCAGTTTAACCGTTCGTGGTCCAGTTTATGTTGACTCCCAGTAGAGTCACTCACCCAGCACAGTTTTGACTCCTAGTAGAGTCATCCTGGGTTTCTGGGGAGGCGACCCCCAGAACGTGATCACCTGAGAACCAGCCAGTTACCGGTAGTCCGCACCAGTACAGTACAGGTTTATTTATGTATATATTGAGTTTATGATATTCGATTATACGTGTTGTTTATTCAGTGCTGGTTCTTGCGGAGTACAGTGGATGAGTACTCACGCCCCCACTATTATCTTTTTAGGTGATGGAGTGCAGCCCGGAGCGTGAGCCGAGCATGGTGGTGTGGTGGTGTCCGCGTCAGCTGGACATTTGTTTATGTTTATGTTATGTTGGCATGTATAAATAATTTCAGACTGTACTGTACTTTATTTTACGCTTCTGCATTGCCAACCCAGACCTAGTATGTATGCACGTTTAATTTTCCCTCATCCGTATTTTCCCCAGTCGGATTTTATATATTGATTTGGGCACGTGCATAAGTATCAGAAAAAGAGAAGTAAGTCAGTAAATAAGTAGCATCCCGCAAGTTAGTTAGTTTAAACGTTTTTCGAAAACAGTTGCAGTATATTTCGAAAATAACTGCGAAAATTTTACCCAGTTTTTCGTGAGTCAAAGTTATAGTAGGCGGGGTGTTACAAAAAGTCAAGTTTTCAATATACACACTAACAATGATATCACGCCAGCAAGATTTAGAAAAACTTACTTTTCTTCAATATTTCTGTAATCGAATTTTGTGATGTTTATAATGAAGTTTGCGATAAACTTAGTATAAACTCTCCATAAACAATATATGAATGAAAAATGATAGTAATTAGTTATTATTAATTATGAAATTTCCACAAAATTGTTTAAGAAAAATTATTAATGTTTGATCCTATTCTTAACTTCAAATAAAAAAAGTTTTTTTTTTTTGTAATTTGTAATTTCCAAGATTTATGGACTTTGTGTTGGGTGCTAACACTTTATGCATTATACTTGCACTCTTTTTTGGTAGGCAAAGTAGGCAATGGTATACAATTGGACATAACCACATTAATTGTAACAACTAAAATAGTTAATGTGTTGAAGGTACAATATAAATACCATTACATTATATTATTTCAACCGTTGGTACTTTGACGCATGTTTAAATGATCTTCTCATTTTTTTGCCACTTCTCTGTTCATTGTTCGAGTCCTTACATTATCCACTGTGAATTTTTTTCATGATTGATCTCCAATAATGCACCGAATCTGCATGAAAAAATTATGATAACAATCATTTGAGTCTGAGATGATATATTATATAAGATGTGATATGGTCCAAAATGAGTGGCTCTGGTTTTCTGAAAGATCTTCTCTAATTTGAACGTGGATCTACCGGTTCGGTGCGGTCCAAGTCCTTGAGCTCGCCGGTACCTGCAAATACGCCGGAATTGCTCCGGCACATGACCCTCCGACGCCCAAGTCAATATCTCGAAAAATAGGACAGATTGTAATGTGTATTGAACGTAACAGTGTTTGTATTGAATGATGTCTTACTTACTACCTGTGGAATTTTCTCTTTATATAGTGTTTAATTGCGCCTTCGACTGGTCGACCCTTCGGGCCACAGACACGGGTTCGACCCTTGGACCTTCGACCCTTGGCACACCAGGTGTCTTCGACCGGTCGAGCCTTCGGGCGGTCGATATGTGTTCGACCCTCGGGTCCCCCAACCCCCGGTCCGCAATAAGCTCTTAACTTCGACCGGCTTGACCTTTTGTATTGTTATCCCTATCAACTATTCCCGCCTATTTACGAGTACACGAGACTTAGCTCGTGTAGTTGTAAATATGCTTGTTTGCACATCTCGCTATTTTTATCAGGCCCAATTATTCATCGGTTGGAGAGCTCTGATTTGATGTTTGAATGACTTTTTCACTAATATATTTTTCTTCTCGCAAGGCGATGTGTCCCACCTACCAAATCACCTACTCAAAATCATGTGGTCCTTATCTCTTCTTTCCCAACTTTAGGATTTCTTACCTTTACAAATATCTTGGCCTCCATTTGTTAGGAATATTCACCTACTCCTCCTACATAAAACTCTTCTGCCCGGCGACTCACTCCCTCACTTCCTTCTCCGGTCGGTTCGCCCACAAGCTTCTTTGCTCAGCAGCTCGCTTGTGGACTCCCTACTCGGCGACTCACTCGCGACATCCTCCCTCCGGCGGCAAGGCACGATTTTTCGGTCGCAATTTTTCGATAATCCTCTCTCCCGATTGTCCCTCTCGTTCACTTATGGGTATGTATTTTTAAATCCCTCACTACTTTTCATTTCTTTCCTTCCTTTCGCATAGCTTATGTCTTTGGGTCTTTTAATTTTGACGACTGGGTTACGGATTCGAGCCTAAGTTTTGAGTACGATGGTTTTTATACCCCTTTTCTCTCGTCTTCCCGTATAGATATACCCTTTCATCCTCCAGTCGGGACCAATGCCCATCACTTAGTCGATGAGACCGTGGGTATATTCACTTGGGACGAGCTCCAACGATTTGGAGACTCGTGTCCCAACGACCCTTTTGACCTTGCGGATATCCCTTATTTCTCCGATGTACCCGATTCGATTTCGGGTCATGGCGTGTCCTTGGTTTGTTCGGGTAAAGGTGGCCCTTCTCCCGTCGTGTCGGGTGGCGCCGGTTCTAGTAGCCATAACCCTCGCTCGGTCGATACTGCTAGCTTCGGTTCTCGTTCGGCCGATCCGAGCAGGTTCGACTCCCCTCCCTTAGTCGGTCGCGGGGCTAGACCAAGCCCTTTATCACGTATGTCGGTGTTGTAGTTTATTTTACCAGAGTTAAACCAAAAGATTCAATCCCCGGGTCGTATCTCAAGGAAGGTTAGCCGGATTATTTCGTACGTATATTCAATCACGAAAAGAGAAATTAATTTCCTAAACACTCTAATCCAATAGATAGGGTTTCAATTAGCATCTACGAATTCTGAAAATAAGCAAAACACACTTCAAATTCACGGAATTCAGACAATGGTTGGAGAGTTAGGGAATCGGAGATATTCGTTTATGGTTCTAACGCACTCAAAAAGCACACAGTCGCTCGGTTAAGGAATCAAATAACCTACTCAGTAACATCTCGTAACAAGAGAGCAAACATGAACAAATCGATAGTTGACACACTTAACACATAGGCAATACATTAACGAACATGCCTATTCCAAACAAGCCATGATCAATCAATTTCTCCCCTTCCGGTTCAACAAATCGATTAATTAGATTAAGATGTTGATCACGCATCTAACCCTAGATTAAGCACAACTCAAATGGATGAACGACAGACAAGCTCATGAATCTCAATCGAACCAAAACAATTATCTCCAATCCCTAACGGAATGATTTAGCCACACATATTCATATCAATCTCAACAATAGATTCAAAACAATAATTCACATACATACTTAAATGAAAGGAAATAACGAATAATCCAAGTCAAGTACAAAATCAAAATACAAGCCAAACCGTGTTTGTTTTGGAGTGCCACAATCTCCAAAACCCAAACCAAGCAAAATCCAATGAATCCCCCGTGAAAATTGAAAAGAAAATGTTTCTAAGGTCTCAAAGTACGAAAGAACAAGTCTGAGAATGATAAAGTAAAAACGAATGAAAATAGAAAATGAAGTCTGAAGTCTCTCTAAAACCCTTGGCTCGATCCTATTTAAACGCCGACGGTTCAAAGTTTTTTTAAAAATATCAGGCACCGCGGCACGAGGCTCCACCGCGGCGCGACACAGTACCTCACCGTGGCGCGAAGCAGACGACACGGCGCGGCAGAAGACCTCACCGTGGCGTGAGGCAGAGCGGCACGGCGTGGCAGAAGACCTCACCGCAGCGCGAGGCAGGGCAGCACGGCGTGGCGGAGGGCTTTACCGCGGCGCGTCATCGTCGCTGCACGGAGGGATCAGGTGCAATGTTCCAGTCCAGGTCGCGGCACCTTCGCGGCGCGGAGCTTTCGTTACCATCCTATTGCTGCGGCGCGGCGGCTGAAAGAAAGCCAATACTCGGGTTGATCCGTGTCAAAGGCCAAGATGAACGCTACTCAATTATTTGACTAGCTCCAACGTGATGAAAAACCTGAACCTGCACACCACCAGAAACGAAAGAAAAACACATGAAAACAGACAAAATAGCAGAAAATATCGAAAACGAGAAATAAACGGCAAACAAACCAAGCGAACGACTAGTGGACCAAAAGAACTAAAAGATTCCTAAAAACAGGGGTAAAAACTAACAAATAAACAAAGAAAAAGATAGCAAAAATAGGACAAACAACTCCCCCACACTAAGACCTTTGTTCGTCCCGAACAAAAAGAAAAGAAAAGAAAAACACGCAAACGAGCAGGTACAATGGCTTCAAAACAAGAAAAGTCCCCAATTGATCAACTAAGTTAGAAAGAATTCCGATGACCACAAGAACACACCTCGACAATTAGCTCAGTCACTTGACAACACAGACTCTCGAATACGGAGATATGATATATGTGCCTCACTCAGTTTTCTTCCACAATAGAAAGACAGGTTTACTCAAATTGATCATCAGTTAAACCAATCATAAATTTGCCTATTGTCTAACTTTAACTCTAAACAACCAAATTCATGAAACAGTGAATCAAGAGGACTTAGAGGTATGTAATGTAGGCTCTTTGGATCAGGTAGGATAAATATAGGCTAAGTGGCTCAATATAGATCAACTCAACTCATCACATAACCCTAATCATGAATTCTTCCGGTTATCAACACCAACCGATTTCTTCCACCAACTCCAAAAACCATTTCACTTCCCAAACATATTATTCTCTCTTTGTTTTTTATTTTTTTTTTAAATAGGAAACCTTTTGGACTTCAGTTGGATATTTCATATGATCCATTCGGTTTCTCTTTTATTTTTTTTTATTTTTTTTTAAATAGGTATCAAATGAAAATATTCACAACTTCACTCAACCGTCATTTCCCATTCTCAACCTACAATGTCATCGTCAAGAGGTTATCAATAAAAATCGAATAAGGCTCAAAAGAGGTGACTAGTGAATGTTATTATCAGAAAAAGAAAAGGGAAAGAATATACAAGGAATGCCTCAATCACGTTCACGTTCACAAATCCAATCAATATATTTCAAGGTAGACTCAAGGCAAATTCTAATTGACAAGTACTCCGACCAATGTCTCACAAGAACGAATGTGGCTCAAATCTCACAAGGTATATATGTATAAGTGTTAATCAAAACAACCAAGCCACATCAAAATATGCCACTCGAGATCATCATCACATCTTTCCAACATCATCAAACAATCATTAACCAAACTTGAATTTCACCAATGTCCAAACTCGAGAAGCAAATAAACTAAAAACTAGACTGGTCCACCAAGCAAAAGACAGATAAGGACTCGAAAGAAAAATAGACCTTGAACTAGACGGTCAACCACGTAGCCACATATACATGCAAAAACTCCCCCACACTTAAAAACAGACAATGTCCCCATTGTCGATCCTCAGTGAAGGAGAGTTGAACCACGCAATCAACCGACTCAAAATAAATAAGCTGTACAAAATAAAAGAGAAAGAGAAACAAAACGTACAAAGCACAGTGACAAGTCACTGTGCGTCCGACGGTGGCGGCTGAGGTAAAGAAGGTTGGTCGGAACCCGAGCTCCATCGGGCGTCCCACTGCTGAAACTGGTCATTCCACTGGTTCCATTGGGTATACTGCTGCTTTTCCCAATGGTCCCAATGGGCCTCATGCTTTGCATGCGTCTCTTCCCATTGGTCCCAACGTTCGTCATTTTTGGTAATGTAGGCTTCCACCCGAGCATTGTGCGAGCTCACTTCTGCCTGGATGGTTCGCAGGTACTTCTCCTGTCGAGTCTGATACTCATCTTGTTGTTTCTAATATCGCCTCTTTTTTTCTGAAGATGTGGTAGGAGAGGAACTTATGCACAACCGCAATGGGAAGCTCCTTGATGAGCCCCGCCGATGGCTCGGCTTTATTGAAAGACTTGCATGGTGAGAAAGAGGCGCAATGTCTGTAAGTCTGAAAATCTTCTGGTTTCTTGCGAGCACCCGTTGTTTTCAAACCATAAATATCACAGAGAACTTTATCTGTAATTTTGACCTCCTTCTCGTCCAAGCGACAAGTGAGGTAGTTGCCGTTATCGTGCATCTCAATTGTGCTAAAGCATTCTAGGGTGAGTGTCCGGAAGGCAGTGAAATTATCACGGTTTGCGTACTTCTCCAAGTTAAGGACTTTCAAATAACTCCGAACTTGTTCGTCGATATGAAGAGCTTTCATCGTTGCCCACTCGATAGCTCGGGGATTAGGCATAGTTCGGGTGGCAAGTCGCTTGTACGCGGCCACCTCTGAGTCGTTAAACACCAAAAACGGAATGCCATGGGTTCGAGCCAAAGGAGTAGTTTCTTCCGCCAAATCTGAATCCGAATGATGTGAGTTGTCCGATGACTCGGGTGGAGCTACGATGATGGCCTTCCCCTTATCCTTGCTCGTGGAAGGAGCCGCATTCCTCGTTTTAACCATATTGGATCTTTAGTTCCCTCAAACAATTCACCGAACACTTGGTAAGCGAGAATTTGCACTGAAAGGCTCGAAGGAAGACAACAATGTAGGCACTCGGATATATGTCTTTTGGCAACGGAATTCAACAACACCCAACTCAAACCATGTGAATGCGTCACGAGAATAGAAAGAATGGATGATTAACGGACACCAAAAGATTAGCTTAAGTCACGTTGAAGCCGAGAGGTCCAATTTCGGAGGAGGGGCGACGAGCAAAGCAGGGGCTGCTGCGGTTCGCTGCTGCTGGTCGGAGATGACGACGGTGACGGCCAGAAGCAGGTGGTTGGGCGTCGGCGAGGTGAGATGGTCGGAACGCGAACAAGGGAGAAGGTGGAGTTAGGGTTAGGATTGGAGATAGGTGAGAGGAGATGGATTCGCCGGTGATGGAGGGTCGCCGGAGATGGGGCGGTCGGTGGTCGACTGGTAGTCGGAGGTGGTTGATGGTGGGGTTAAGGCTAGGGTTCAGAGATAGCTGAGGGGTCAGTTCACCAGAGAGAATCTAATTTAGGAAGAGATAGAAATCGCGCATTAAAATCCAACTCGGCCCGCGGCGCGACGTCTAAAAGATCCCAAATCCTCAGTACGAGTCGTGGTGCTGCCGCGGCGCGACGAGGATTGATGTTCCGCGGCGCGATGATTGCCGTGACGCGACGCAAAATGAAAGAAAATTCGCAGTCCAGGTCGTGGTGATCCCGCGGCGTGGTGAACCTTCTGCTGCGGCGCGGAGCTTGCCGCAGCGCGGTACCTGGAACAATTTCAGCCGATTTTTTTTTTTTTTTTTTTTTTTTTTTTTTTTTTGGGTAACATAAATATATATATATATATACAAAAAGTACAAATAAATGCTCGGTTTTAAGTCGGGAGCTCGGCACAATTTCGGATCAAGGATACGTGGCATCGCCGAGACCGGTGGTCTCGACATGGTATTTTCCAAACTCTCCCTCGATGTAAGGCTTCACTATTTGCCCATTCACCACAAATAGTTCGCCATTTGCTGAATTGCAAAGTTGGACGGCCCCAAAAGACAACACCTCATCAACAATGTATGGGCCACTCCACCGGGACTTGAGTTTACCCGAAAAAAGACGTAGTCGAGAGTTATAAAGAAGAACTCGCATGCATGGTAGCAGCTCTTTCGGACAATATGAGCATCATGGAGTCTTTTTACCTTGTCTTTATAGATTTTGGCATTTTCATATGCCTCGTTCCTCAGTTCTTCTAACTCCGAAAGTTGCAACAACCGAGCTTTACCGGCGGTATCAAGATCAAGGTTCGTCTTCTTAATTGCCCATAAGGCCTTATGCTCGATCTCCACCGGTAAATGGCAAGCCTTCCCCTAGACGAGTCTAAATGGGCTCATCCCCAAGACGCCTTTGTATGCGGTTCGTTGGGCCCACAAAGCATCGTCGAGCCTGCTCGACCAATCCTTCCTTGATGAACTGACTGTCTTCTCTAAGATGGTTTTGATCTGCTTATTGCTAGTCTCCACCTGGCCCGAAGTTTGTGGGTGGTAAGGAGTAGCTACTTTGTGCGATATACAATACTTCTTCATCAGTTTCTCAAAGAGCTTATTGCAACAGTGCTTTCCCCCATCACTCACGATTGCTCTCAGGAACCCAAACCTGCTCAATATGTGACCTTGCACAAACTTGATCACAACATAGCATCACATGTGTTTGTGGGGATAGCTTCAACTCACTTAGACACGTAATCTACAGCAAGTAAAATATACTCATGACCACTAGACTTAGGAAATGGTCCCATAAAATCAATGACCCAGACATAAAAAATTTCTACTTGAAGGTTATTAGTCAGGGGCATCTCATTTCTACGACCTATATTCCCAGTTCTTAGGCATCTATCAAAAGAACGGCAGAAAGTATGAGCGTCTTTAAAAAGGGTAGGCCAAAACAAACCTGACTGTAGAACCTTGAAAGGGGTTTTCTGGCCGCCAAAGTGGCCTCCACAATGGAACTCGTGGCAGAATGTGAGGACATCAGATTGCTCCTCCTCCGGTACACATCTCCTAAGCACCTCATCCTTTCCCATCTTGAAAAGGAACGGCTCATCCCAAAAGTAGTCCCTACATACAGAAACAAAACGCTTTCTCTCTTGGGAAGAGAGATCAGGCCGCAGTTGTCCACAACATAAATAATTCACAATGTCAGCATACCAAACACTTTTCGACACTTCATGCGCATGCTCATATGGAAAATTATCATTAATAGAATGATGCACAATCAATGAAGATGATAGGTTAGATGGGACTATGCGTGACAAGTGACCAGCCACTACATTCTCAGACCTTTTCCTATCTCTAATGTCAACATCGAACTCTTGCAGTAATAAGATCCACCGGATAAGCCTCGGTTTAGAATGAGTTTTGCTCAAAAGGTACTTCAAAGCTGCATGGTCTGAGTGAATAATGACCTTAGATCCCAAAATGTAAGATCCAAATTTTTCAAGTGAAAAGACCACGGCTAGCAGTTCCTTCTCGGTGGTGGTATAATTTTGTTGGGCCCCATTAAGAGTCAAACTAGCATAATAAATTACTCTAAGCAACTTATCAACTCGTTGACCCAAAGCGGCGCCCACTGCAAGGTTAGATGCATCACACATGATTTCAAAAGGGAGAGACCAATCAGGAGTAATGACAATAGGGGCACTCACAAGCTTGTTCTTCAATTCATTAAAAGCACTCAAACAAGCATCATCAAAAATAAATGGTACATCCCGAGCAAGCAAGTGGCATAATGGTTGACTAATTTTCGAAAAGTCCTGAATAAAATGCCTATAAAACCCCGCATGCCCCAACAAACTCCTAATCCCCTTAACATTCACAGGAGGGGGAAATTTTTCAATAACATCTACCTTAGCTTTGTCTACCTCGATCCCCCTACTAGAAACAACATGACCTAAGACAACTCCACTTCTAACCATGAAATGACTTTTCTCCCAACTCAAAGTCAAATTAGACTCAATGCAACGTTCAAGGACACGAGATAAATTATGAAGACAATGAGAAAATGAATCACCAAAGATAGAGAAGTCATCCATAAATACCTGTAGGCATTCCACAAGCATATCCGAGAAGATGGAGTGAAATGTACCCGATGCGTTGCATAGGCCAAAGCGCATCCGTCTGAACGCGAAGGTGCCAAAGGGGCACGTGAAAGTCGTCTTTGGCTAATCCTCCGGTGCTATGGCCACTTGGTAGTAGCCGGAAAGTCCATCCGGAAAGCAGTAGAACTAATGGCCCGAGAGACGGGAAATGGTCCTTCTTCGTCACCGCATTCAGCCGCCTATAGTCAATGCACATACACCACCCGGTAGTGATGCAGGTGGGAACCAACTCCTTCTTATCATTCTCGACCACGGTTATGCCACCTTTCTTGGGCACCACATGAATCGGGCTGACCCACTCACTACTTGCCACCGGGTAGATCAACCCCTTAGAGAAAAGCTTCAATACCTCTTTCTTGACAACCTCCATCATATTCGAGTTTAGCTGTCGTTGGCTATCCCGAAAAGGCTTAGCTCCCTCCTCTAAGATAATCCGGTGCATGCATGTAGATGGAGTAATCCCCTTAATGTCTCCTAAGCTCCACCCGATTGCTTTCTGGTTCTTCCGGAGCACGGTTATGAGCTCCTCTTCTTCCTCACGGTCGAGCTCAGCAAAGATGATCACCGGTTTCTGTTTGGCTTCATCCAAAAAGACATACTTAAGATGCTTGGGCAGCTCCTTAAGCTCAAGTGTGGTCTCAACTCGGGAATGCCCTTCTCCCACCTCAAAAAGTTCAACTGTAGGCTCTTCTTCATCTTAAAATACGGGCATCGATACTTCCTCGAACTCATGAAGTACCACCTCGTCAACAAGCGGGTCGGTTAGATCAATGAAAGCACATTCTTCCACAAAATTAACTGAGGATGCTGACATGGCTCCTCGAATGGAAATAGACACCGATTCCCCCAAAACCGTCATATTCAGGGTCCCGTTCTTCACATCGATGAGAGTGTTAGTAGTTGCCATAAAGGGTCTCCCGAGAAGGATGGTGTGATCCTTCCCATTCTCATGCACATCTCCAACATCTAAAACAACGAAATCGACTGGGATGATAAGCTTACCGACCTTCACGAGAACATCTTCGACTATCCCTTTCGGGTACCAGATGGAACGGTCAGCCAACTGAAGGCACATGCGGGTCGGCCTCAAGTCCCCAAGACCAAGCTTCTGAAAAATCGAGAAGGACATGAGGTTTATTCTAGCCCCGAGGTCAAGCATCCCCGAAGCCACCTTCCCGTTTTCCAAGGCTATCTGGATAATGAAACCACCGGGGTCACGTTCTTTCTTGGGAAAGTCGTGCTGCATTGCACTTGCTGCCTCGTACACAACCACCTTCTCTCCATCCTCGAACTTCCTCTTCTTCGTCACCAAGTCCTTAAAAAACTTACCATCGGATGGCATATTCTTAATCAAATCAAGAAGGGGTAAGTTTACATTTACCTTGGAGAGCATGCTGAAAAGCTCCCGAAACTGCTTCTCCTGCTTCTCGTTTCTGAGTCGGTCTGGAAAGGGAATGTGAGTCTTGAATGGATTCGGCGACTTGTGCAGTACCGGCTTGTCTGTCACCTTCCCGGACTCTGCTTCCATGATCTTCTCTGCATTTGCCCCCTCACTTTCAAGTTCTTTGGTAACCTCTTGATCCTCGGGCTCGAGCATTTGTACCTTGTTGTCCACTACCTTCCCGCTTCTGAGTACCGTGATAGCTTTAGCTTGCTCGGGTTGGCTAGGCAACTTTCCTTTGTCAGATTCAGCCTCCATGTGCTCGACCCTAGTGGCCAGGAGTCCCAACTGTGTCTCAATACGCTTGATGGAGGCTTCATGATTGATTTTCCGCTGCTCGCTGTTGGCCATGAACTAGAGAATCTTATCCAACTTGTTGTCTTGATTTGATGCACTG